CTAGTAATTAGGGAGACCTGCAAGAAAAGTCTTCAGGAAAGAGTATTTCAGTCAGCTGACCAGCCATACCTTTCTCCAAGATGGTCCGTTCCATTCGTCCTCCTCCAGCTTTCCAGTGGCCCAGAGGTCATGCTCAATTTTTCTTGGGCTGCTTTTGTTCGCTCATAGCTTTCTTTCTCTCTCTTTTATGGTTCTGTTGTACTGGTGGAGATTTTAGGGTTTATCTGTGTGTACAGATGTTGTCCCTATATTTGTGGGTGGTCCAATACATGCTCTGGCTGCAGAAGCAGTCCAGTGGATCTGTCTGGAGAACTACTGCGGTCAAGTGCCAGCCATACTGGAATTCAGTTTAAGGCACCTTTCTAAGAGCCTGTATTTTGGTGATCCAAGGATAAGCAATTAGAGAATACATTTCTGATTGGTAACGTAAGTGGAGATGAAATAAAAGGTTGCAGTGTTGAGCATTCCAGCTTGACGTTCTAGTCAGCCACCCATGCCTGCCTGCACTGTAATCTATTCCATTCCCTCTCCCGTCACATTTTGATCCATCATTATTGTATAGTCTCTTAGGTGTATTCAGTATTTATTCTTCATGGTGGTGGACTTGCCCATCTATCTTTTTCCCGTAGAATGTTTGTACTTCTGCAAACCTTAGGACATCCCCAAGTCCAGTGATACTCTCCTTTTCTGGATGTCATTTGGAACCATGAAGAACTTCATGTAAAGAGGGAATAATATGGTAAACTAACCAATCAACTGCAAGAATTAGGCCCGGTCTTAGAGAAACAAAACATACATTCTCAAATTGCAAAATGTCATAACTCCTCTCTTACTTGAGCACCCTTAGCTTGGGGTGGTCCAATAAGAGCAATTTTACATCCATTCATCCATCCATCCATCCGTCCATATCATACTATTCCCTTTCATGATTAGTAGCATTACACAGAGGAAAAGAGTAATCAGATGGGACCATAAATGCTGTTCTCTTGCCTCCCATCACGGTTGGGTCAATCATGTCTTACAATGCTTTTCAGAAAGATAAGGAAAGATAAGTTTAGGTTACCAGCCTTAATCATATCCATGCCACATACAACTTTCCCTGCTAAAGGTAAGGACACAATAGCAGACAGGTGTTATCTAAACATGCCCACATTATTCTGTGCAAGTTAGATGTTCTAATTGGGAGGCTACCTTGCAAATCAACTTACTCTTGTCCACTTCTTACCAGCTCAGAGATACGTGCAGTCTACAAGCGTTCTTTATTTCCAGTTATATAAATTATTCATTGACACATCAGAATTGCGTGATCAAAATTTGGGCACTTGGTAACCAACATGTATTTACAACAGTTGCAGCATCCTGGGGTCATGTGATCACCATTTGTGATCTTCCCAGGAGGCTTCTGACAAGCAAAGTCAATGGGGGGAACCGAATTTAACAACTGTGTGATTTGCTTAATGACTGCAGTGATTCGCTTAACGACCACAGCAAAAAAGTAAAATTGGGTGTGACTCACTTAACGACCTCATCGCTTAGCGATGAAAATTCTGGTCTCAATTGTCATAAGTTGAGGACTACCTGTATGTGTCTGTTGATGGCTGATTTAGCTGAATGCCAAGCTTCCAGGAATTTCCTAGCATTTTTGGATTTGGCTTGGTCTAGAATGCTCAGTTTCCCAGTTGAAACTATGGTTGAGTCTGTCCGTGTGTTGTGAGATTAAGGAGTTTTCATTGTGACAAAATGAATGGTCAGTAGAAATGGCACACCATTTCAAAAGGGACAATAAAAAAGCTAAGAAGGAAACAAAAAGACCAGACCCACATCCTCTCCAGCAACCAACACTCAGGTAAATAGGGATTAACACCAGACAAACAATCAAGCAGAAAACAATACCCTAATCAAGGAACTACCAAGGAGAAAACCACACCCCCAACAACACTGGCAGGGCAAGCTGCTGTATAAAAAAAGAGACCCTCCACACCCCACACTCACTAGCACTGATGATGTTACCTAGTCGGGTAATGAAACGTCTGCAAGCAAACAGCCAAGCTCAGAGAGCACCAGACTCCACATACCTGCAGTTGCTTAGAAGTCCCTGCACCACCACTGCATCTGGGCTTTTCCAGTGCTAGGGCTCAGCTGTGCCACTGCTGTGGTTTGGTGGGCATAAATTAAGCAACCTGGAACACGTGCCACTGTGTTTCTGACATGACACCGTTTGACAGGCTAGTATGTCAATTTGGAATTGCAGGAGAAGCAGGCAGGGCTGGAAAAGGTACATCTGTGGTTTGTGCTTGCAGAGCGAGAGCGAGCCATTTACAGCAGGGTTCCTCAACCTTGGCAACTTTAAGATGGGTGGACTTCAACTCCCAGAAT